ACAGTCCTTTCCTATTTTCTGTTGATCTCCTCGCGACTTTGACCTTTGGTCGATAGTTTACGACATCAATGCAAGTGACTGCGCATTGCTTAAAAAACAAAACGCACAGTTTTATAGCTGACGTGGATAAACTATGTAAATCATATACATAACATTTCATTGTAGTATAATATTTTTTTCTACAAGTCTAGAAAATCATGCCTGTTAGACAGTACTACTACATTGTACTACTAAATTCTGGGATTCCTTCCCGGAAATTCGTGTTCTTTTACCTCCCGATTGAAAGTCAGGAGGGTTATAGTAATTGATATGTCCACCCGTCTGTCTGTCTGTTACGCTTAAAAATTTCAGTTACCCGTCTCTTATCCACATATCCTATTATACCACAGAATGAAATTCAATGAAACTTTCATAGAATCTTAATAACATATTGCCATTGTGCAACTTTTATTTTACTTTTTGATCCGACACATGTTTTGGGATTCTAACGACAAAACATAAAAGAGAGGTACCCCCAAAGCGTAACAGACGGACGGACACTCTGATCACTAGATACCCTGCCACTTTTCAAGCGAGGGTAAAAAATCTAAAATCAAAGAAAATTGAAAAAGGCATATCATATAACCCCGAAATAGGGAGCAATTAATATGTTCATTAAAAAGACCCAATATTTAAAGCGCCGTCATTTGTTGCAATGGAAAGGGGGAGTTCAGTTGATAGCTTTTTCATTGCCAAAAAAAACCAAGAGGCCCACAGGCCTTATAGGTCACCTGAGCATTATGAAACAACTTTCCAGTTATTGAATTTGATTCATGTTTTAAGCCAGATGCTATATGGCATTTACAATTTTGAAAGAGGCACCATTGATCATCATAACAATACACTTAAGCAGTTGCTTAGCTTGGTTACTGAATACCCATACGCAGGGTAGGGGAACAAAAATGCATTCCAACTAATCAGTAATATTCAGCAATAATCACTAGTGCCCCTAACACTGTGACATAAACCCCTGACCCTAGGTCCACACATTGCACAAATTTTAAAAAAGCATCCTTAAAATTGCCTATCAAAAAATAAATAAATGTTTTATAAATACAAAGGAGCAGATTTCAAACAATTAATTCATTTTCAGTATATAAGTAGACACCCCCCCCACCCCTGACCCTGGGGCCTTGAATTCAAAATTTTGCAATTTGGGCCCTTGCTCATCATAACTATATAGGTAGTTCATCTGCTTCATGCCCAGAGACAAAGAAGAACATTTTCAAAGATTTAATGTATTTTCACTATATAATCAATAGAGCCCCGCCCTAACACCAGACCTGACCCTGGGGCCATAAAAATTTATAATTTTAGAAGAGGCATTCTTGCTTATCGTAACTATGTACTTAGTTAGTTTATTTAATACCTAGGAGCAGAGAAAAAGATTTTCAAAGAATTCATGTATTTTCACTGTATAATCAATAGAGCCCCCCCCCCCCCACACCAGAACCCTTGATCCTGGGGCCATAAAATTCACAATTTTGGTTGAGGCACTCTTGTTCATCATAACTATGCACTTAGTTAGTTTATTTAATACCTAGGAGCAGAGAAGAAGATTTTCAAAGAATTCATGTATTTTCACTATATAATCAAAAGAGCCCCCCCCCAGAACCCTTGACCCTGGGGCCATAAAATTCACAATTTTGGTTGAGGCACTCTTGCTCATCATAACTATGTACTTAGTTAGTTTATTTAATACCCAGGGGCAGAGAAGAAGATTTTCAAAGAAATCATGTATTTTCACAATATATAATCAATAGAGCCCCACCCTAACACCAGAGCCACAGACCCTGGGGCCATAAAATTCACAATTTTGGTAGAGGCACTCTTGCTTATCATAACTATGTACTTAGTTGGTTTATTTAATACCTAGGAGCAGAGAAGAAGATTTTCAAAGAAATAATGCATTTTCACTATATACTTATTTAGCCCCACTCTAGCACTAGAACCCCTGACCCCAGGGCCATGAATTTCACAATTTTGGTAGAGGACTCAATGCTGATTACAATCATGCAAACAGTTTGACTGCTTGATGTCCAGAAGTAAAGAAGAAGATTTTAAAGATTGCATTAATTTTAGTGGTTTTGGCCCCACCCCTCAGGCCCCAGGGGGGCTGGGATATGAAATTCACAATTTTAGTTCCCCCTTTACCCATAGATGCTTTGTGCCAAATTTGGTTGAAATTGGTTTAGTGGTTGCAGAGAAGAAGCTGAAAATGTTCAAATGTTAACACACGACGGACGACGACGGACGAAACGGATAGCAATAGGTCACTCAGGTGACCTGAAACCCAACTTCATAAACAATACGTTCAATTTTTTAAGTACTCACCTTTATTTCATCTGGATGAATAAAGTTTCGTAGACTAGCGTTTTTTGGTACAATCGTTTGTTAAAAAAATTATATATTTCTGAAAATAATAAACTATTTCAAACTATCAACGATATATGATGAATTGAAAAATAGTTCATAATGGATTACTGGAATATTGGCAGGATTAAGTAAATAGTTTTGGATTAAGAGAATTTACAGATTTCATTTAACGTAACGTTAAAATCAGTAATGACGTGATGACGTCGCTACGTCAAAAGTTGTAATTATGGAAGAAAATGCACTTTTCCCAAACCTCTGGCGGAAAAACGGTAAGAGATAATTCTAAAAAATAAAATGATTTTGAAAGGACACATCGTGGGCATGTTTGTAAAAAACTTCAACCAGATTTAGAGACAGGGCCGCCTAGTTATGCATACCGTACCGTTCTTTGCATTTCTATAGCTTAAGATAGTACAGTGAAAATTCATTCTTTCTCATTCATTCTCATAAATAATGACCTTGATGAAATTTTAATATTTCATGCATATTATGTTATTTCAGTTCCAGGGGATAAACTATTTAAGAATGTATGACTAAGATAATGTTTTATGTAAGCTACCCACCTGCACTACTCTGGGGTGGGGATCTTCTTCCTCGGGGACAGATGGGGGTCTGCAAAATGGAGACAGTGTATGTTACATACTATACAGTTTATTCTATAGTCAGTAAAATCAAGGCATATCAAATAAACATTCCAAAACTGTGTGCATAAAAAGTGATGTGCCTGATTTTATATTACCAATATATACAATACATGTATATATATCATCCAATATGGACTATGAAAATGATGAAATTTTACTACATATATGAACTTTTATAACTTAAATAAAGGATACTTTTCGATTATTTTATGATTAGAATGAGAAATATTCAGAGAAAACAGAAATGGCAGAGAGGAATGAAGCTCACATATATCTGGATACATTACATGCATATCTGTACATATCTTTAGTTTTCTACTTCATCTTGAGAAAATATTTAATTTGGGATGTTTTTACCATATATGTTTTTGGATTTATTTAGAATTCAATTTTAATTCTATATTTTAACTTATCTTTTCCTTATCAATACATATACATTACAGCTATTTTCCATTAAAATGAAATTTAATACATGTACTTAAATCACTATACAACATGTACAGTAAAATAAGACATTTTTAAGAGGTTACACTTTCATAAAATCTTTGAGAAATATATATATATATATATATATATATATATATATATATATATATATATATATATATATATATATATGTGAATTCAATATTGCAGACACATTGGAAATCATTTTCAGTGGACTAAATTTTACTAAGAATTGACTATATTCTAATTCAACGTTGGGCTTGCAAAGCTGAAAGACTGACTTAATATTCTAAGAGCTTTTTAGAGCTGTAATAAAATCAAAGAAAGGATTGAACAAAAATGATTGAATTCATTAAAACATTAATAATTTGTAATGCATAATCAATAAAGCCAGCTTTGCCATCTAAAAGCAATTTTTAAAAAATGACAAAAAACACTCAAGCTAAAAGCTGCAGTAATCTTAACTATACAACAGCAAGTACGTACATAAAATCTTTTGCCAGATCAGTTGGTTTGACATAACGCTTTGTAAAGCTTGTAAAATTGCAAGGATATATTATACTAAACATGCTGTACAACATGTGCATGTGTTATCAATGTGTGTGATATTATACTCAACCAAGTCTTCAAGCAATTTCAGCATTCTTATTGCTTACAAACATGTTTAATAGACTTCTCCACATTTGGTACCATACAATGAAATCCAAATTTAAGGACAGATTTAGATAAGAGAAGAAATATTTCAAAAATTAAGTGCCTGCAGTTAACGGGTCAGTAATTGAAATAATGGATTCATTTAGTTGATGAAGACTAGGTGTTTACATATGTGCATGCAACATGCCTCTACACATGCCTGTGATTTAAGATACATGTACATATATTACATGGGTGAATTCATTCAAAAAAAGCTTTTTATTCACTGCACTCCTACCTATACCAAAGTTAATTGCCTAATAGGGGATTTATTTTGTCTTGGGTTGATGACTGATTTATATATTAACTCATAAAATGAAATTACTTGCTGATATTTCTAAACTGTTGAAATACATGTAAAAAAAAATCTTAACCAACAGTCTATTTGCAAATTTTGATATCCATATTAAGTCAGTTCACAAAATTAAGTTCATGCTCAAAACAAAGAATCTAGAAAAAATGTTGAGGTCTCCTAACTGATTGTTACTGAAGAGTATGTTCTGAGTGTGATCATTAAACAGAGGCAGGCTACTGTCCAATAAGTTGAACTCATTACAATTTACAAATTTTTCACCTATTACACTTGAAGATTGCATCGTGTAAATTTTATGGCCATTATAATGACCCTGCTTGCATATACAACCTGTTGTTTGGCTTGACTGACAAGTTTCCCACTAATTATTAATGAAGCCAATGTTTGTAATGGTATACTTTTTTGAATACATATTACTTGATCAGTATCTTTAGAGGACTGACTGTGTGCTAGGTCTACAGGAGATGCTTACTCCTCCTCGGCACCTGATTCTATATTTAGATCCTCCAGAAGTCCGTGCTTTTCCATCACATACTGTTAAACATTCTATCTAGATGTAGTGATACAAACTTGCAGGGTGTTACTTAAGTGCATTTATGCAGTAGTGGAGTTAATGCTAAATAGCTTTCTACTTTTTAAATATTCCAGGAATTTTGTGAATGTTGCAAACTCTATACATGAACATGGTGTGAACTGGTGAGTAAATGATTAAAACAAAATTTTACAGAGCAGCCAGTAAATGAAAGTGTTTCTCTGTTCTAGCGGCTGAACACCATAAACCTGTGGACAGACAAACACATGACCACACACAATGTAACAGTGGTTCTGACTGGTTCAAATATTACAGCAACCTTTCAAAAAAACTAATAAAGCCTGCAATGCATTCTCATTAATAGAATAAACAGGCAGCATGGACTCAGTCATGAAAATTTAATTATGTGAAAATAATTTTGCAAATACATTGCTATCTGTGCTACCAATTCAAGTTCATAAACTATAGATAAAAAAAAAAAGATTTAAGATTCCTGTAATATTGTTGAGTCTACCAGAACCACAAAGTTGTATCATATATTAAATTAGCTAGAGTCACATGAAGTTAGGAGCCACACCAGGACAAATACTCACTTGACTGGCAATAACCGCTCATCGTAGGGGGTTCTAGGAGGGGGAGGGGAGTCACTGGACGGCTTTGTCTCTACTGATTTACAAAGAAAATTGGTCAGTCTATCAGTTCAGTGAAAATCTTATCGGGGTATAAATAACATGGAAAGTTCTGGTATACTGCTCTTCATAGATTTGTCTGTTTTTTTTGGGTAAACTAATTGACTATAAATAGAATAATTACAAACCAAGAAAAGGGACAATAACTTTCACATTGCAAAGTGCAGATGTCGAGAAAACATTTACAGAACCATTTACAAGAACTTCTTTTACATAAAAGGATTAAAAGATTTCTCTGTTGTTCATTATAATTTCAAATGGGAATTTACAAAATTTTGCCTCTACACTCAAATTCAAGAACTGAAAACAAATATCGGTAGACAAATATTCCCTTTCGAAAACTATGAAACATATTTGATTGCGCCCATGACAAAAGGGTCCTTATGGCATATTTGCTAAAACAGAGAAATAACGTCATAAAGATGTGACGTTGCAGAATGACGGTGAACTTCGACGCAGATTTTTTTAACCACGTGTTTTGACGATGCATTTTCGTGATGTTTTTATCGCTGTTTCCAACATGTGGAATTTATTTTCATTTATAAATCAATTTAATCAATATCTGAATCACTAATCCATTGATTTTTAAAAGATATTAATAAAGACATTTAGAACTGGTTTCTTACCAAACATTATTAAATACGTCTCTATAATATCAATAGTTTTCCTACATGCATAAATGTATAGAAGCTGTAGACAAGGTGTTTTCTGATAGGATAATGAACCTTTTTACTCTAGATAAATTTTATTTACATATTCATAACATTTTTAGAATACATCTTAGACTGGGTATATCGTAAAAAAAATTGCAAAGGAAAATATTGTCTTCCTACTTCTTTTAGATCCGCTCCACCACTCTCAATTTACATCGCGATCGCGTCGATCACACGTAAACATTGATTCCTCGGTGTATACTGCTTAAACCGTTGTTAAACTGTTTGTACAAATGTTGAAACTAAACATACATCTTCCACGGTTTTACAAATCTAGCAAAAATGTGTAAGAACGATAGTCAAAATATTTGTATTTTCTATAAATAAAAATAGGAGAAATAACTCTGATGTAAACAATCGATGAAACACAGTAACAGGGGTACCAGACAGGGACATTCATTTTAGCTATTGCGTACTTTTTCACATTTCAG